AGCCGGCCTAGGAAGTCAACAGAGGTAATGCTCCTGCTGCCCGAGCCGGCCTGTCCTGTGTCCCCAGTGGGGATGGTGTGGGCTGCACTTCGGGGACCCCTGTTTAAGACCCCAAAACCACTAGCGGCTGCTCCAGCTCAGCTGCTAAGTCAGGGGCAGAGGCCTGGTGGTTCCACATCTGATGGAGCAGGACGGTGAACATCAGAATCGGCCGCTGGGGGAAGTGACTGCGCCCCTTTTTCTGGGAGGTTTTAAAACCCTGGGGATGCTTGTCAGGAGTTCCTCGAGGTCCCATCCAATGGTAGGCTTTCCCTTCTTAGGAGCCTGTGTGATGCTGTGACATGTTTAATCAGAGTGTCAGGTCTCCCCTGAGCCTGCCGAGTGTCACACGGGCAGCCGAGAGGCAGGGGCAGTGTCGTCACACGTCACACACACGGAATAGCAGCTTTCAGTTGGGTGTGGCGCAGAGAGCCGGCCCCAGGGCCCCTGCACTCAGGATGACACGGCTGCCATCACTGTGCCTTTTTTTTTAATCTCTAAAGACGCACACATCGTTGGAGCAAAGTCCTAACCCAGGCGAGCTGCTCAGAGAGCCCCTGGACGCCAGCCGCATCTGCAGCCGTTCTGGGAGGGGGCTGCCCGTGGTCCGGGGCCTGGCCGCAGCCTACGGGGCTGGGAGAGAGAGGTCCCGCCGTCCGCAAAGGGGTGACGCGACCTCCCGCTTCCCTTCCCTCTGCAGGAGAAGCAGGAGGAGGAGGAGAGGCTGGTTCTGGAGAGCAACCCACTGGAGTGGACGGTGACCGACGTGGTGAGGTTCATCAAGCTGACGGACTGTGCCCCCCTGGCCAAGATATTTCAGGAGCAGGTACGGCGAGCTGGCTGCACAGTGGCCGTCTTTGCTCTAAGCCTCCGGGCCTTCTGTTCCAGACGGCTTCCTGCGGCTCGGCCGTGGCAGGGGATGGGCTGCTTCCTTGTCACTGGAGGGCAGGGGGCACTGCACCCGGGGTCCCCACCGGCACCTCCCTGGGGGCCCTTTGCCATCCAGGGGCGATGGAAACCCTGGCTCTCCTGGCCAGGCTGGAGGTCAGGGCTCCCCGCATGCCTCTGGGGGTGGGGGTGGGGAGGTGCTTTCTTGCAGTGGAGCAGTTACTGTCCAAAAGGCTGTGTCTCCCTAGCAACCACTTTCCAGTAGAGAGAACGGGCTTCAGTTGGGCCTCTTTTCATCTGTGCCCGTTGGCATTTCTGGGCAGCCAGCTTCTTGAGCAATGTCTTGGGAGTAAGAGGTCAATCAGCAAACCAAAGCCCAAAGAATTAGCTGCTCTGTCATATCTTGGGTTCCACGGTCCCTAGCTGGTTGCCGCCTTCTCTCCACCTTTCGGGGGCGTCTTCAGTTTGTCTCGTTTATAACATGCAGGGCTTTTACTTCTCTGGACAAATAGGGAACAGTCTGCCCACTCTGCCTTCCCCGAGGCAGAGCCCTCGGTCCCTTGTGCTGTATTTCATGCCGGTTTCACCACTTTTCTTACTTCCTTCACTTCTTTCTCTGACTTGTTTGAAAGCCTGTGGTATGTTAGGTACTGCGCTGAATGATGAATAAACGGGAAAACAGTTGACATAACCCATACCTTAAAAAATGTCCACTCTGGCAGGTGGACTGATGCTCATTTGCTAACACATAAGAAATGCTACCATGTGCCATTAGAAGGGAGCGTTCTACTTACATTTTCCCTTCAATGAATGTGAAAACACCCTCTGAACACAACCCACCTCGCACATCTCTCACTGACCTCGCGTAAAAAGTTCAGGGTGGAGCCGGGACTTGCTCTGTCTGCTATGCGTGCTCGATGTATTGGAATTTCTTGCAGGGTTTCACAATGTAAATAATCTTTCACGACCTTCTATTTTACAAAAGTGCTGTTTTCCATATCATAAATTAAAGGTACGTCCATCTAGCCTTTTTTTTTTTAAGATTATACAAACCGATAGCCTAGAAAGAGGGAGATTTGGGCATTAAATCAGGAAAGAAACGAGGAAGGGCTCTGATTTCCCTTGTACCCAGTGGACTGCTCAGATGCTCTCCCAAGGCCACCAAAACGCAGTGATGAATCGTGAAAAAGCAACTTCATGTGGTTCCCAGCTCCTCCCAGGGGAGAGTCAGTTCTCGCCTTCAGAGGTTTTCTCTGCATCTTCTGCAGACATGCAGTGAGTGCACACCGAACGTGGGAGTGGTGGCCGGCAGGCCAGGCCGCCTCCTCGCTGTGTGACGTCAGCTGCACCTGCTCTCTGGGCGACACTTAACAGCAGAGAGAAAGGAAGACACTTACCCATAGGGAACGTGGCAGCAAGTGGGTCCCTTCATTGAAAAGACACACACAGGAAAGAGAGAGAATTGTGAGAAATGTGGGGACTTACGGGATCTGGGGCTTTTTAAGAAGCTGCATCTCTGTCTTGAGAACAAGAGCAAAGCGAAGGTTGAAATCCTGCTGGAGGCATCACCCGACGCAGTCCGGTGTCATCACTGGCGGCGCTTCGAACACCTCGGAACGCTTCACCGCGTTCGAATACAGGCCGAGCGCTGATGACACCGGCAAACACGTGTTCCAGCCGTTCCCGTGAGCACTCAGCGAGCATCCCTGGGGCGTCTGTTATGGGCCTTAGAACAGCCGAGAGGCAGATAGGGTTATCGGGGATTTTATCTTTTTATTTTACTTTATTTTTTCTTTACATTGAGGCATAATTGGTTTATAAGGCTTATACTGTTGTGTTGGCTTCTGGTGTAGAGCATAGTGATTTAGATACATTCTTTTCCCAAAAGGCAGATACAAAAGGTACCGATTTATGTTGGTCTAAGGTTTGGTTTGGTTTGGTTTTTAGACTCAGGTGCCACTTTTAACTGAGAAATGTTTTCGGTTGGGTCTCTTGCAGGATAAAGAGCAAAGACTGTGCTGTGAAGGGTGCATGGGCCCCGTGTCGGATCCTTTTATAAATAGCTGGTAATCAGCAAGAAAGTGAAAATTTGGTTAAGAGGCGCAAATACTACTTACCACTGGGTCGTCCTTAATTGGACCTTAATCCCTGTTTATAACAACATCTTGGAAAGTTTCACGCCTTCTCAGGCGAAGGCGTCCAACAAGGAAACGTACCCGAAATTGGCCACTTCTTGAATCAGCAGGGGGCGGGGCCCTCCCTCCACCTGCTCCTCCCACGGGGCCCTCCCTCCACCTGCTCCTCCCACATCAGTTAAAACCTGGGCCCTCCATACTTATTTTTCTTCGAGAGAGAAAAAATAGGTAGAATTTAATCGATAAATAGCCTTATTTCTTATTTAATTTTCGGTTCCACATTAGGCCGTTTTATCTGTCAAAATAAAAGGTGGTTGCTGGCCGGGCTGCCTGAAGTCACAGGCACTTGAGGGTGTTTTTGTTTAATCAGACCTTTAGTTGCTAATTTGCTCTAAGGCCTTTGAGCCCACAGGCCACCGCTCTGATTTGGTGAGGCCTCCAGTGGGTCACTCCAGGCATTGTAAGAGTTTTTAGATGAACTGGGAGGCGTTAAGGTGGGGGGGGGTTATTCACCAGCACTGAGAGAAATCACAGCGCACAGAATAACAGCTGTACGTCCACCCCCTGGGTTCCAAGCGATAAATTCAGAGACCGTCATAGTCACCCAGGAGCCTTTACAAAAATCACAAACTTCCTGTCACCAGAATAGACGCCTTTTAATTCTGAAATGTTATAGCAACCGCTTAAAAAACCTGTACTCTGTAATTTCATGCTGCAGGCGTGCACATTACAAAGTAAAACTCCACACGTCTGTAAAGCCCACAGAACACTCGGGTAAAATGGTGCCTACTCAGTCACCTTTTATGAGCCATACAGTAAGCGAACTACCCAAATTAGTGATTTACTTTGAAAAGAGAAATTGCAGGGTAATTTCAGGCGTAATCCACATGTAGACTGTCCCCTCCTCTTTCTGCTTCTGTAGAACTGAATGTACCCACCAAGGGGCTGCCAGCCCTCAACTGACCTCTGTATCAGAATAAATGGGATTTTCCCTGTGCTCAGTATAACTTGCTTTCTTTTTAAAAATGTTCTTAATTTTAATTTTTTTTATTTTTAATTTTTTTGGAGTGGAGGCAGTTCAGTTTATTTATTTAATGGAGGTACCAGAGATTGAACCCAGGACCCCATGCATGCTAAGCATACGCTCTACCACTGAACTGTCTCCTTCCCCCATCAGTGTAACTTTCAAGTACTTCATCACATTTCATTTCTTAAAAGTGAGGTCCATTTCTGGTAATTCTGTGTCTAACAGAACAAGTGAATTATATAGGCGCATATTTATAAAAACACATCCTGTCTTCCTCGAAGTCATTCTCTCCTCTAGCAAGCTTAGACTTTGACAGGAGGGGCCCCTCTGGAGCCCATGGGAAAATTAGTGATTGAGCCCGTGGCACCCTGTTTGTGTGTGTAGCTCCTCGTAGCACAGTGGTCTGTTCCCAGAGTCTCCAGGGCAGGAGCCCTTGTTTCATTCAGTGTGATATCCCAGGGGCCATCAGAGTGCCCAGCACTCGGTAGGTGCTCCATAAATGCTTGTTGATTGACTACATGAGCGACCTCCTTCACTGAAACATGATGCC